ACAGGCCCACAGCCGCTGGTGACTCTGCTGCCGCTGAAGGAACCACAGCTCTGTGTGGATGGTGAGTACATGCGTGGACCCCTGCAGTGCCAGTGGTGGGGTCCTCAGCCCCCGGTGGGCATCGGAGACCCCCGGAGCTTTATAAAACCTCAGACTCCCGGACCTCATCTGAGGGTTGGGGAATCGATTTTCACCAGGTGTTCCAGGAGACGTTGGGATGCAAACCCCTTTCTTTGTTTTTGAATCGTGGTTAATAGAAACCTGATGGTAGCCCTCGCTGGTTTGGCTCAGTGGTCAGGGTGTCAGCCCGCAGACCAAAGAGTCTCGGGTTTGATTCTGGCCAAGGGCACGTACCTCGGTTGCGGTTTGTCCCTGGCCCCGGTTGGGGTCGTGTGGGTGGCAACCACTTGATGTGTCTCTCTCACATCCAAGCTTCTCTCCCCACCCCAACTCTATCTGAAGATAAATGTAAAAATATCCTCGGGTGAGGATTAAAAAAATAATAAAAACGGAAACCTGATTGTAAGGTCACAGAGGGATATACCCCGATTCCCCTTCGCAGTCAGTTGAACTGGTGTCCGCCTGGTCAGCGGCCATCACGGAACCGGGAGTGTCCTTCCAACCTTGACTGCCTGCAAGCAAGCTGGTCCCAGGCAGCACCTGCCCTCCCCCTGCGAGATAAGCCCTACTGGCCGCCACCGGGTCTTCCCGCTTTGTAGTCACAAAGGCTCTGTCCCTCCCCTCTGGTCCCCCACGTGGTTCTGTTGGACTCTCCCAGAGCAGAGTGGCGCTCCCTGGTTTGGAGCTCCTGCGTTAAACTATAAACATCACGTTCTTTCCCTAATAACTCTGTGTTCACTCGGGACAGGGCAGGGACACTTCCTCTTTTCCTCCAGGACTTTTGTCTCCTTGGTCTGTGCTGATCAAGACGTTTTCCGTCAGTTCTGTTACCCGTGAAGTAAAGATGCTGTTCGTCCAGCCTGTGTCTTCTCAGCCATGGTTGTTGGTGACCCCAGAAAAGCCATGAGCGAGGTTCGTGGCCTCCTGCCTACTTAATGAGTCCGTCTTCTCCAAATTGTGTTTTAAGTGGCTGAAGACATTAGCCTCCGATCTCATTGATACACAACGCAGGGGCCAGGCGGGGGTCCCTGAGGCTGAGTCAGGGAGGTAAAGACCCTCCTCCCTCCTGTCACCCCCCTGCAGGGGGTGCTGCAGGGACAGGAGCCTCTGTGAAAGGGCTGATTATTTTCCTTTTGCCCACAGCTGTCTCTGTCCCTGTACCCTTATCTGTCATTGTAAATGTCCATACCTGTGCGATATTTTATGACAGGGCGCACCTGCTCACACGGCGTGGTTGTCATGTTCCCGCTACGCTGCCAAGTTTATGTGTCGTTAAGCCTCCTGACGGAAATGGAATAGGGCTCCTGCTCCAACCTGTCCCACCTGCTGACCCTTCCTGCCACTTTTGCTGTCCTTTGCTCTCGTGGGGGAGGTCACCAGGCTGCAGTCCCTCCAGACTGCTCGAAGTGACTCATGTGCTCAGCGGACCCTGCCTGTGGATGTGTCTGTTTGTTTCTGCATCTGGCATCTCTCAAGACTCCCCACAAAGGCCTGGGTGAAACCCCGAAGCCCCCACCGCCCAGGCCGTGAGGCTCCCTTCCTTGGGGTCCCCTCCAACCCTGCATGACCTGTTACAAGCCTCTTGGAGCACATAGTCCATCATGCTTGTTTGTGTTAGGAAGGAACGCGGTAGATCCACAAAGCCTTTGTCTTACTCACCCTGAGCTTTCAGAACTTTGGGGGAGTCTTTGAAAGCCATTTTCGTGAGACCAGGGCTCGCTGCGTTTCTTGTCTGGACAACTGCAAATACTCGGTGTTTGAAAAATAATAATGTAGCCACATAACTAGGGCTGACTGAGCTGTGAGCTGGCCTGGACCGGGTTAGGAAGCACAGTGGGAGGGGGAATCAGAATTGGAATGCAGGTGACTGATGTCCTGTCGTCGGTCACGGATGGGGGAGCCTGTGCCCCTGTTAGAACATGCTCTGTGGAGATCCCCCAGGACCAGTGCTAGAGGGCTGAGCACGTGTGTTGTGTTGGCGCTGAGCCGCTCACAGAATCTTCTGCGGTCTCGAATGAGCCCCAGGGCCCAGGCTTCTCCCAGACCGACTGGTCAGAAATGTTCAGCGCATGAGGAACCTCAGGGCCACAGGAGTCTGTTCGAATGTGTGGAGTTGGAAGTAAGGCTGAGAAGGATCACAGGGCTGCTGTTCGTTTTTATAATAAAGGCAAATAGAACAGAGGTGTGCTGGTCATCACAGGTGTACACAGAGGGCAGGGAGCACCTGCGCCTGGGCAATGTGGGGAGGTTGCGGACCCGTGGGTGTGGACACCTGTACATGTCTATCCGTTTGGAGGAAGTCTGGATCTATGGAGTCTTTTCCTAACAACGCCCTCCCCCCAAATAGGTAACTCTTCCTCTTCCCTGCTCAGATTCTCCTGTTCATGTCCGTGGCCACTGCATTGACTCGGGACCTCTTCTGTCTGCTCTTAAGAATAGTCCAGCCTTGCCCTGGCCAGTTTGGCTCAGCGGTTAGAGCGTCGGCCTGCGGTCCAGAGAGACCCGGGTTCGGTTCCCACTAAGAGCACGTACTTCGGTTGCAGTTTGTCCCCGGCCCTGGTTGGTTGTGCAGGTGGCAGCCACTCGATGTGTCCCTTCACGTCAATGTTTCTCTCTCTCTCTCCCCCTTCCTCTCTCTCCCTCCCACTCTATCTGAACAAAAAATGGAAAAATATCCTCCAGGATAAAAAAACAAAAATAAAAATAAAAAAGAATAGTCCAGCCTTTTTCTCTGCCTGCATTCTCTTCTTCACTCTTCCACTCTTCATCATCCAGACGGTCCGTACCTGATGCCACCCTTGTGCCTGAAGAACCTTTGATGTTCCCTGGTGACCACAGGTACATGATAATGGTGACAGCTAACCCTCATCTGGTGCTTACACATGTGTTCTTTGCTCTTGGCACCAGCCCTGAGCGGTAGCACGTGTATCCCCGTTTTACAGATGGGAAGGTGGACGCATGGGGTGTCCTGTCCAAGGTCACAGAGTCAGGGTGGACCCAGGCATGACCAGGTTGTCTAATTGCTCCAGGACGGCTTCTGTGGCTGCTTCTTCTTTGTCCCCAACCCACCTTGCCTGCTGTTTTCCCTTCCATCACTGAATCATGCCACCCTGTTTTCTCTCCCCAGTTCCTTTGCTGGGTAGTTTTTCACTACCCAGCTAGGGCTGCCAGGCTCCCAAGACAGGAACTCTTGTCTTGCTTATAATACCTTGTGTGGACCCCGCAGACAGGACGAGAGAAGGGCCATTTGTATTTTCTCTCCTCTTCAAGAAGCCTAAAAAGAAAGCATCTCCTCTTGACCCCCCCCCCCCCCCCCGGTGTGACAGTCCCATCATGAATGTAACACCCACTCGCCTTGTGTTGTAGTTGGGTCCATGTGCACCTTTCTGCTAGGTGGCATATGGAGGCCAGATCATCTCTTCTTGGTTTATCTTTTGTATCTAGGGCATTATTGGACCAACAGTAAATATCTGTTAAACAAATGTAAGGCCGATAAGAATGCAGAGGTGGGGGAAATCATAAAAATACTCTGTCTGAGCGGCCCGGGTAGGGCTAGAGGGCATGGATCAGTCAGCAACGTATTTGCCTGGCGGCCTCCAGGGACACCTCCCTTGTTGGGAAATTTCTAGAAGAAAGTAGCCCTGGCCAGTTTGGCTCAGCGGTTAGAGCGTCGGCCTGCGGTCCGGAGAGACCCGGGTTCGGTTCCCGCTAAGGGCACGTACCTCGGTTGCAGTTTGTCCCCGGCCCTGGTTGGTCGTGCGGGTGGCAGCCACTCGATGTGTCCCTTTCACGTCGATGTTTCTCTCTCTCTCTCCCTTCCTCTCTCTCCCTCCCACTCTATCTGTACAAAAAATGGAAAAATATCCTCGGGTGAGGATAAAAAAAAAAAAAAAAGGAGAAAGTGGACAGTTGCTTGGCCTGTGAGGCTCAGTGGATTGAGCATCCTCCCATGGACTGAGAGGTCCCAGTTTGATTCCCGATCAGGGCACATGCTTGGGTTTCAGGCTCGATCCCCAGTGCGGGGCGTGCAGGAGGCAGCCGATCAATATTTCTCTCTGACATTAATGTTTCTATGTCTCTCGCCCTTCCTCTCTCTCTAAAAAATCAATAAAAACATTTAAAAAAAGACAGTGACGTGCTAATGATTATCCTAATGAGCTTATCTACCTCGTCCATTTTGCCGGGGTTTTGTTGCCTTTTATTTCTTTAGCTAAGCCGACCTCCTGGTGAGAAGCTCCTGGCTTCGGTGCCCTCCCAGAGTGGGTTTTGTAAATAAACAGGCCGTGGTTGGGGGCATGTAAGCCGAGGCCTGCTGGACTTTGACAGGATGTTTGGGCCCTAAATTGCTATGGAGTCGGGGAAATTGTGCTTCCTGAGTAGAGACAGAACCTTTCAGGATGGAAAGGGGCCAAGAAAAACTTCTTTGTCAGTGAGAAAGTTAATTCTTGAAGCGTGTAATGAAGGTTCTCCTACTAAGTAAATGTCTGTCGGACTCTTCAGGTTGAAAACACCTTGCACAGCCTGGCTGGTGTGGCTCAGAGGTTGAGCGTCGACCGCTGCACCAGGAGGTTGCCGGTTCGATTCCCGGTCAGGGCACATGCCCAGGTTGTGGGCCCGATCCCAGTGGGGGGCATGCAGGAGGCGGCCCATCGATGTTCTCTCTCATCAGTGTTTCTCTCTCTCTCTCTCCCTCTTCCTTCCTCTCTCTCTCAAATTAATAAAGAAAAAAAATTAAAAAACAACAACAAAGCACCTTGCACCTACCAGGTGTCTTTTTGCATCTGGTACAAACCTCCAGGTGGGTGGGCTGAGAGGCCAGAGGGGGCCTCCCCCGTGGTGTCCGCCGGGATTGACAGCAGGGTCTCGCTTTGCGCCTGCAGGTGAGCGTGCTGACCACCCTGGAGCGGAGGTTCAACCTGCAGAGTGCCGACGTGGGCGTCATCGCCAGCAGCTTCGAGATCGGGAACCTGGCGCTCATCCTCTTCGTGAGCTACTTCGGGGCCCGCGGGCACCGGCCACGCCTCATCGGCTGCGGGGGCATCGTCATGGCCCTGGGCGCGCTGCTGTCCGCGTTGCCCGAGTTCCTGACCCACCAGTACAAGTACGAGGCGGGCGAGATCCGCTGGGGCGCGGAGGGCCGTGACTTCTGCGCCGCCAACGGCACGGGCCGCGACGACGGGCCCGACCCTGACCTCATCTGCCGCAGCCGGACCACCACCAACATGATGTACCTGCTGCTGATTGGGGCCCAGGTGCTCCTGGGCATCGGTGCTACCCCCGTGCAGCCTCTGGGTGTCTCCTACATCGACGACCACGTGCGGAGGAAGGACTCCTCGCTCTATATAGGTAGGAGCAGCCCCAGGGGTGTGGTTCTCTTTGCTTCCTGTGCTGTTAGTAACCAGGGCACGTGACAAAGGAAGGACAGGTGGGCCCATGAACTTTGTATTTCGCCGGAGCCTTGTTCTCAGACTCGGCTTCAAAACTCGGGGATTTTGAAAGCTGATGTCTGAGTTGCACCCCAGAAAATCTGGTGCGGTTGGTCCAGTCTCGGGGTGCAGGGCGTGACGTGTGTTTGAAAAGCTCCCCAGGTAGGTGGTTGTACCCCAGCAGAATTGAGGCTTTGTTGTGTGAGACCAGGAACAGACCTCGAGAGGGAAGACATGGTCAGGAGCAGATTAATGTTTACTGTGTGTGTGGACTTTCTTCTGTCTGTCATTAGCCATGAGGGCAGACTTGGGGGTCTATGTGTTGGCATTTGGTGTCCTTCAAAGTTGGAGGTTTTGAGTAATTTTTCCTGGACCTGGGATATATGTTGGAACTGGGTATTTGGGGAGAGATAAGGGACGTGTGAATTTTTAAACATTACTTTGCACTGGATGAGTTTCTGATCTTTTATCCTGGAAGGATGGAAGGCTTTGAGACATGGGGTTAAGAAATATCTAAGTCATGCCCTGGCTGGTTTGGCTCAGCGGTTAGAGCGTCGGCCCGCGGACCAGAGAGTCCCGGGTTCGGTTCCCGCTAAGGGCAGTACCTCGGTTGCAGTTTGTCCCTGGCCCCAGTTGGGGTTGTGTGAGTGGCAACCACTCGATGTGTCTCTCTCACATCGATGTTTCTCTCTCTCTCTCTTTTCCCTCTCTACCTCCCACTCTATCTGAAGATAAATGCAAAAATGTCTTTGGGGGAGGATTAAAAAAAAAAAAGAAAGAACTATCTAAGTTGAATCACCCTTAGAGCAAACAGGAACACCTGCTCAATGCAAGGTGGCAGGGACACATCGGTCATCAGTCACTGCTTCTGGGTCCTGTTGCAAGGCCATTTGTATGGCGAGGGCTGGCCTGCCCGGCATCTCCATCCCTCGTGGACCAAGTATAATTTTGCTTCCCACAAGCTGTTGGACTGCGTGAGACATCCCCAGTCACTGAGTGCTAAGCTTTGAAAACGTTACCTCTACGGGCGGAAGCTTTGTGCCTCCCAGAAAGCTGTGCGCTTTGAAATACAAAGTTCATCATCACACGGAGGTTTGGGTCACCATAGAATTTGAATTGAATCTGACACAAAGTGTCCTATCTGCCAAGCCTCCAGCATCCGCTGCCCAGATTTTCAGAGCCGAGAGGGTCTGGAGGTGTTACGCACCCGAGTGTGGATTTCAATCCGTGCCTTTCCCGCCCAGCTATGCGGGAAGTGCTTTTGGTGAACAGATGTGTTGCAGACATACGTGCTGGCCTTCTGTGGACAGGCTCAGGGTGAGGACGGGGGTACCTGTGAGCCTGGTCATGACCTGACCTTGGAACACAGAGTAGAAGAAAGGACTGGTCAGGACAGAGACGGCCAGTCCCTCTCCATGTGGTTCGGGGCTTCCATGATTGTGTCTGAGGCTGGGGAGAGGGGTCTAAGGTAATCGTGTGTATTCGGTTACTGAAACACTTGTTTTTTTCTTTATTGATTTTCGAGAGAGAGGAAGGGAGAAGGAGAGAGAGATGGTAACATCGACGAGAGAGAACATCGATTGGCCGCCTCCTGCATGCCCCCCACTGGGGATCGGGCCCACAACCTGGGCATGTGCCCTGGCTGGGAATCGAACCAGCGACCTCTTGGTGCCTGGGTCGACGCTCAACCACTGAGCCACACAGCCGGACATTTTGTTACTTTTAAAGCTTGAGTGGAAGCCACTCCATGTAACACTGTTGCAGACCAGGACCTGAGCCACAGCCTGGATCCAAAACAGTCTCCTGAGGTCCAGCAGGACAGTTGGCCTCTGACTTGACGGATGTCGCTCTGGGACTCGGGAAGAGATGTTTTCAGGCAGTGATAACAGCAAGTGGATAAATCAGAGCCCAGAGAAGGGAACGGAGAGTGAGAAGTTGAGTTCTTATCTCTGATGATAGAATTAAGGAGAAAAATGTCTCCCCAGCATCCCTCCTCGAGTCCCGGCGGTGCTGAATCATGTCTGCTTAGGGCATCCTGCCCAGCGCGGCGGGCTCAGAAACCTCCTCTGCACGTCTGCCCTGCCCACGGGCTGTGGCTTCTCCCTGCACTGAGGCGGGGCCTGGTTTGTGTGTGCAAAGCTTTAGGATGAGGGGGCGTTTTGGTTTGGGGGAGAGGGGCCCTTTGTCGTTCTGAGCCCTCATCTGTGGGATTTGCCATGAGTCTTTGTTAGGAAGGATGTTTCGGTCCAATTTCTACTTGGAAGTCCTTTTCCTGTGTGGTAGTTAAGCAGTCAGAGATCATCTGCTGTTTGCATGGTGCATGGCACCTCGGTGGCTCGGGTCCATCTGGCCCATTTCCAGAGCAAATGGAGATGGACCCTCTGGGTGTCTCTCTGCTGGTTTCAGGGGTGTTTGTTTCCGGGGAACAGCAGGGAGCAAGCCTTCTGGGCGACTGGCCTGAGTAGGTGGCCGGGTGGCCTTTGGTGCTACATGCATGGTTTGAATTCTCCAGGAGCAATGTAAGAAGGCCGTTGTATTTGCAGAACACAACCGTTCATTCCTTTTTCGTACAGGTCGTGAAAAAGCATTTAGTGACCACGAGACTACGCTAGCATTTGTCTGCCGTAGTAGGGAGCCAGTTCCCGAAGCCGCTAAATTTGCTTTGGGAGGTATTCGGAGGCACCCACTGAGCAGAATCGATATGAATTAAGGCCTCTTAACTCCCTGCAGAGAGGAGGAGAGTCTGCAGGGACTGGCGCCGGGTCCGTGGGTGTAAATGTGTGCGCACTGGGGCGGAACAGCAGTGCCCGCCGGGCTCCGGCTCCTGGGAAGCTGGTTAAGACAGAGAGGCCGGCGGTCCGTCGTCTGGTCCTGTGCCTGAAACGTGAGTGCGGGTTGAAGACCGAAAGGATTAGAAATCCTGTGTGTGTCCGGTTGTTCACAGCTGACTCTGGTGTCAGCAAGGAAGGGGACGGGAACCAGCAGTGATTCTGCTGCAAGGCCCGTGTGCCGAGACCTGCCCCGGGCGCCTGCCCCACCAGGTGGCTGCCCTGTGCCCGTCTCTGGCTGTGTCGTCGAACCACTGCAACCACGCCGATGCTTTCCACCAAACGACTATTTGCTTTGGCCGCTTGTGGCCGAGCCCCTGCCAAAGTCCTAGATTCCTCCGTGGGCCATTCACAAGGGGCTGGTCTGCCTGGCTGCAGTCTCTTCTCTCCAGCGTGGGCAGGGAGCCAAGGGAGCTCGTTCCCCGGGGACAGAACCCAGTGAATGGGGTCGCAGCTCAGCTGGCAGGCTTGTCACTCGGGCACAGCGCGGAGCCAAGCCTCATGGCGTGGCTGCGCAGTGACCTGGGGGTGACACGTGGCGCTCACTCTTCCTAGAAGCACGGAGCAGGCAGAGTAGCAGTGGAAGCCAGTCGATGGGGGTCCAAGCACTGACCCTTTGGGAGGCCACTCATGCAACTAGTCCAAGTTGTGACCTTCCCTGAGCCCAGTTTTCTCCAAGTTCAAAACATGGCTTGTTGTATTGTAGGCAAGAATAAATGCCAAATGTCCTGGAATCACTGTGTCCTCTTATTAATTTTTTAATCTTCACCCCAGGATATGTTGATTGATTTGAGAGAGAGAGAGAGAGAGAGAGAGAGAGAGCAGCATCGATGTGGGAGAGAAACACTGATTGGTTGCCTCCCACATGCGCCCCGACTGGGGATCGAACCCGCAACCTACGTATGTGATCTGACAGGGAATAGAGTCCACAGCTTTGGATGTTCGAGACGATGCTCCAAACCACTGAGCCACTGGCCAGAGCATCACAGTGTCCTTTTGTTAGATTGCTATATCAATGGGTTGTCGTCTTGTTTTTGTTTTTTTTTTCTTGGAGGAGGAACAAGCCAAGAGAGTGTTAAAGGTTTTTAAAATAACTTTGTTTTTTAGTTAAAAAGTATTAACACGGCTGAGAACCTTGGGAAGTGTAAAGAAAAAATAATTAGAAAATAATTACTCCTCGCTTTATGGTTATATAAAGCCTTCTCTGTGCATTAGTATTCTTTTCCACTCAAAAAAAAAAATGCGTTTATAATAAACAGTGGTTTGCAGTTTCATTTCTGTGTGAATATTGCATGAGCCTTTCTCTGTCACTAAATATTTTTCTGTGACATTTTTACCGCGTACTTACTATTCCTTCATGAATATACACCTTAATATTTAATGTCCCTCTGTTGTTGGGTGTTTAGAACGTTTGCTGTCATAAATGAAGTCGGCAGGCAAGCTGTAGTTCTGGGAGGCTGAGTAACTTACAAGGGTAACTTAGTAACTTACAAGGGTGGGGGGAGGGGCTGGTGGATGGTGCAGGGGGTGAAGTGCAGGTGAGGGGCATGCCAGCCCGAGGACTTCAGGACGTGACAGTCACAGGAGCCAGGAAGGTGGGACAAGAGCTGTGTGTCTTCAAGCCAAGGGCAGAAGTGCTGTTGAAATGGAGAGTGTGGGTGTCAAAGCCAGACAGAGAGCTGGACACAGATCAGAGCTGAGACTTCGGAGGCGGAGCAGCTGGTGTGATCCATGTCCTGCTCCCCTCTCCAGAGTGTGGACGCCGTACCCCCACATGGCTGGACCGGGATGGCCACTGGGAGACCGTCCTTATGATGTGTTAGGAGTCTGTGTCCTTACAACTCTCCGCATGCTGGTTCAAGTTCTGCCCTCTGGGCCCGCCCTGAAAAATCGTGGGTCCTCCTTCTGCATGTTGGTAATTCCTCCAATGACTGCGCACCAGCCTCTCGCGTGGGCGGAGCACGGACACCTGAAACTTACCTCTCCTGTGCTGGGACCCATGTTTCTTGATGCCGTGGTTTCCTGCCTCTCTTCACCCCCATTTCCCTCGAAGGTGATGCCAGGGACTGGGGAGCTTGTTACTAGGGGCCAA